AGGTACAGATTCCTCAGAAGTACAATTAAGTGTTCTGGAATACTCATACTTCTCAATGTTGTCCATAGCTTGTCATGATCCACACAATTGAAAGGCTTTGTGTAGTCAATGGGAAGGGATAAAGAGATGGGAATACTGTCTTCAGAAGTGTATGGACTTCAAATAGGTATACCATACTCCACAAAGACAATGTTCTTATCCTACTTTTGTGAGGAGCTACTAGGATCTTAAAAGCTCATGAGTGGTCAGCTAAGGTGCAACTATTGGTTGCTACCTGTGTGGAGGAAAGAAGAGTGATGAAGACACTTGGAGTCAATTAGTCCAATAGACTAATGAAACATGTGAACATCAGTCTCCATGACTCTGAGATCAGAACTAGATGGCACCCAGCTACCACTACCAAGTGTTCTGAAAGGATCACATTAGAAGGTCCTAGATAGAGTGGGAGGAAATGTCGAGCAAAACTCAAAATTGTAAATAAGATTGGGATTACTGATCAGAAAGAGACTTATGGTTTTCAATCATAGTCTGATCTAGAACTGAACTCAGTCTCAAGGATAAATTTTAAGCAAGTGGTAGATGGGTATATGGGGGGGGGGTAGCAACACTAGTAAGGTATGCTCACTTTGGAGTAGTCAACCATTCAAGGTCAAAAGGGAAACATTTATCCAAGGACAAAGTTCTGAAGGTCTGGGAAGCAGGGTGGAATGGAAATAAAACTCACAGAAAGTTGGATAACTGATGTTATGTGGATTGCAATTATTGAAATGAAATGGAGGGTATGATTTGTTGAATATAAAACTGAAGATCGATTCTGTAAACCTTCACTCAATTCATAAAAAGTAAAAACAAAAAAACACCAAAAAAACAAAAAACAAAAAACCCACCAAAAAACTAGACAAGAAAAAAAAAAAGTGCATTGACCTAGATGAAGGATATGTTGAGAAATGATTGCTTTACATTTTGATGTATATATATATATATATTTACTTCCAATAAGTACAATATTTATTAAACATACCTTCAGTTGTTTTGTTACATAGTGCGCAACATATTACAATATTCTGCAGCCACAAATTATATGCAGAGTATGAAGAAACTATCAGATAGTGTAATCTTTCCATTTGTAACTCTACAAGGAAGAACTCGCAAATCAGATATTACATAACGTTACAGCTCTCACTAAACCTTATGCATGGAAAGTGACAGACTTATGCATGGAAGTTCAGCCATCTTTGATAAAAAAATGGCTGAACTTCATCTTCAGAAGATGAAATAAATTCGACATCCAAACATGACGATATAAACATCAAAACAAAATATATTTTAACTAACTGCGGAGAAATGGTCTGATATCAGGAAAGTACCAAGGATTACACACATTTATTTTATAAACCAGCACACAAAGGTTTAAAACAGTTTTGAAAGTGAAGTTGGCTGTCTTGAGTCAAGGGGATAATAAAGAAAAAACAAAGTCAGTATTGACCATTTACAACCTCTGACCTTTGTGGAGAAGGTAAGAATCTGTTCTAGTGTAGCTACATGCAGTACAATTCTGGCAATTTTGTTTTTTCACTTGGATTCAGAGTGCAAATTCATTGCGGTGAGAAAAGGATAGAAGCAAATTTTAGCAACATCTTCCACCTGACTGCTTGACTGGAGTGCTTGACTTTTAACGTTGGGTTGATACATTTTTTATAAAAATAACATTTTCTATAATTTTGTAGCAATACTTTTTAACTTTCTCTTTTATTCTGAGAGCAGATTAACACTGAAGATAGAATTCAGATGTTACTAACATGCCGTTAGCATTTTGACTCAGGTTCTTTGATTTGAATTACTATCAACCTTTGATTTCAAAATTCATTTTAAAACTCCACTGTGACATTTGTATCACTGCTGCTATTTTTAGAAAATATGATAAAAACCCTTAGCTGGACTTTGTATTACAACTGAGTATTGGGAAGTATATATTTTGATATATAATGTAAAAAAATGTAGTTTTGAAAAATAAATAATACACACTCACATATAACTGTCTTCTTGTGTTACAAGCAAATCATGGTAAGGATTGAGCTAATTGAAGCCACTATAACATTACGTTATAGGAGAATCAACAGCTGGATCTGTGGGTTTTCTTGATGTCAAGAAGTTGGTTTCTCTTTGGGTCCTTGTATCCTCTCAGGGATAACGCTCCTGGTCAAGTCACTTTATCATTTCTGCTGCTGATTCTTCCAGCCAAACCCATAGAGATGTGACAATAATTGTCTTTTGACTTCAGATATGTAAGATTTAGGGTACTAGGTATGGAGTCCGGGTGTGGTGCTGTAGGATAAGCGCATGACTGCAAGTTCAGTTTGAACTACAAAAGTAGACTGTTCACACTCACTAGTTGATCCTTGGAAACCGTATACTGGGTCACTATGAGTTGAAATCGAAACGAAGGCACTTAACAACAACAACAATAGGCATATTAGATGGAAACTTGACACCTGAAACTTACCCATGCACCTTACTATTTATTGAAAGTGTTACCTAACTATACTATGTATACAGAGACAAGTTTAACATGTCTTGTTTTCAGAGTTTTCAAACGGTACTTTTTGCTTGACATGCCTCACTGAGTTTCTGATGAGTCTCAAATTTTAGGTGTTTAATGCTGTGGTAAAAGCATCTGGGAGTTCCCTAAATAAGCCGGAAAACTAAGGCAGCTGAGCATGGAATGCTATATGAAACCACTTAAGTCAGTTGCCACTTCCTGTTTCCTGAGAAGCCCTATGCTAGTGGTCTGCCTAGATGAAGGTCTCTGTGGTTTTAGAGGCCTGGATTCTCCTTGCTACTTCAGTTTGGACCTGCATTGAGAACATCCATGGTAAACCACAGCTTTGAGAATAGTTTCTCCAAGGAATTTTTCATAATGGTTGCTTTTCCTGCAGGCACTCTTCAGAGATCTGATTCGTTGATTTGTTGTTGTTACTTGCCTTGGAGTCAGCTCACAGCTCCTGCTGACTCCGAGTGTTACAGAGTAGAACTTTTCTGTAGGGTTGCTATGGTTGCGATTCTTATGGAAACGGTTCACTAGGCCTTTTCCACAAAGCTGTGGGGGTAGGTGGGAACCACCAACTTTTAGGCTAGTAGCCCATCACAAACTGCTTGTGCAACCCAGACTCCTATAGGAACATCTGGTAGCGTAGTGGTTATGAGTCGGGCTGCTAATCTCAGGGTCAGCGGTTCAAAACAACCAGCAGTTCCGCGGGAGAAAGATGAGGCTTTCTGCTCCCATCAAGATTTACAGCCTCAGAAACCCTATGCAGGGTCGCTATGAGTTGGAACTGACTCCATGGCACATAACCACCACCAACCACCAGGAGAAATATTTCTAGTCCAAATGGACTTCAGACAATATATTGACAACTCATTTGCTTTTGCAAATAATCCAAGAAGCTGGGCTATATGAAGACAAATGTGGTATCAGGATTGGAGGAAGACTCATTAGCAACTGGTGTTATGCAGAAGATACAGCCTTGCTTGCTGAAAGGGAAGAGGACTTAAAATACTTACTGATGAAGACCAAAGAGCCCAACCTTCAGTATGGATTATAGTTCAATGTCAAGAAAACAAAAATCCTCACCACTGGACTAATAAACAATATTCTTATCAATGGAGAAAAGATTGAAGTTGTCAAGGACTTCGTTCTTCTTGGATCATCTTCTTGGATCATGGAAGCAGCAGTCAAGAAATTAGGCAAATCTGCTGCACAAGAACTTTTTAAAGTGTTGAAGAGAAAAGATGTCAGCTTGAGGACTAAGGTGCACCTGACCCAAGCCATGGTATTTTCAGTAACCTCATATGCACATGAAAGCTGGACAGTGAATAAGGAAGACCATAGAAGAATTGATGCCTTTGAGTTATGGTGTTGGAGGAGAATGTTGAAAGTGCCATGGGCTGCCAAAAGAACCAACAGATCTGTGTTGGAAGAAGTGCAGTCCGAGTGCTCCTTGGAGGCCAGGATGGCCAAACTTGGTCTCTCCTACTTCAGACATTTTGTCAGGAGGGACCTGTTGCTGGAGAAGGTTATCATGTTTGGTAAGGTGGAGGGTCAGAGAAAAAGAGGAAGACCCCCAGTGAGATGGATTGGCCAAGTGGCAGCATCAATGGGCTCAAGCTTGGCAACAATAGTGAGGTTAGCCCAGGACCCGGCAGTGTTTCATTCTGTTGTGCATAGAGTTGCTATCTATGAGTTGGTACCAACTTGATGGCACCTAACAACAACAACAACAACAACAACAACAACAACATTTGCTTCCTGTTTCAATCGCTGATATTCTAGGCTTTTTATTTTATTTTAACCTTTTGTTGTGGTTTTCTTTCTACCTTGGGTCTAATTTGCAAAGCAGTCCTTAGCTCTAATTTCAGTCAGCCTTTTTCAAACCCACTGCGAATGATCTTATCCAATACTTGATTGAATTGTGTTGTAAGATGCATGGCTATATCTTCTTAACCTTACTCCTTGCTTCCAAACCAATAAACCAAAGCCCTTGCAATTTAGTCTATTCTGATTCATAGCCACTATGTAGGCACAGTTGTTGTTATTTTATTGTTAAGTGCCGTTGAGTCAGTTCTGACTCATGTTGACCTTGTATAGGATTTCCAAGGAGCAGCTGATGAGTGTAAACCTCTGACCTTGTGGTTCAAGCCGACCTTGCAGTCCAGCACATTAACCTGCAGTGCCACACCAGGGGTCCATAGGGCACAGTTGTTGTTGTTGTTGTCAGGTGCCATTGAGTCGGAACCGACTCATAGCGACCCCATGCACAGTAGAACTGCCCTATTGGGTTTCTAAGTCTGGATTCTTTACAGAAGCAGACTGCCACATCTTCCTGCCACAGAGCAGCTGGTGGGCTTGAACCATTGCCATTTCAGTTGTCAGCTCAGCTGCTTTAACCACTGTACAATCATGATTTCTTGAAATAGGAATAGGAACTTTAATATTCCTACTTTTGTTCTAACAGCCTTTGCTAAAATCTCTAGCAAAGACCAACAAACCACCTGCATCACACTATCCAGAAGCCCTTGTTAAAAATATAAATATCTCAGCCAATCCCTACTTAATTCACTGCACTTGGCTGGTGAGTTTGAATCACTGATCTTTGGGTTAGCAGCCAAGTAATTAAAACCCTGTGCCACCAAGGCATTCTCTTTTTGCTTACAACATCATCATATTTTATGTCAATGATAATGCTGTTTTCTTCTTTTTAAAATAACGCTCTGAGTTTCACTCATGTGAAATTCATCATTGATTCAGCAAAGTCAGAACAAAACAAGGTCAACTTCTGGGTCTTCAACCAGTTGATCCCAATATCTCCTTTCTATTTTTGTTGGAGCAGCCTCCATTTTTGACTGTCCAAATGCTTCCCAGTTTCAATGCCTAGAGAAGTATCATCTGTTTTAAAGCAACATTTCAACTTTACTTTTTGCATTCTTAGTGATTCTAAAATGTCTCATAGGCTTGCCTATTTCCTTCTGTTGGAAGTGAGGACACTTTCTTTGGAATTGGTATGTGAATTTTTCTATTTATTCATTTGGTCTGTAAATGCCACATATAGCTTCTGGTATGTTTGTATCTTTCCATTTTTACCTGAAAAGCATCTTTTAGAATGCCTAGATTTGTGCAGCTAATTGTAAAACTGGTAATTTTTGAAAATCAACAGAGCTGAGGCAAAGGAAGTTACTCAAGAATCAGGGAAGAATGCTGTGTGTTGAGGGTGAGGTGAGTAGATGGCTGCCCAGGCATTGATGATTGGTCCTCTGCTACTCGACACAGTAGCGGTGTGTGTTCTTTAGGGTTTTCCTCAAATGATTCTCAGCTTCTTAAGAGACAGCCTTGGAATTTCAAACATAACTTGACTCTAGCACTAGTCTGAAAAAGTGAGGTGAGATGAGTGGTCTTCCAATGCATCCATGTCGACTTACCCATTTGCACCATTTATGAAGAATATTCCAGATAATCTTCTTTAATGAAAAGGTTGGAGGGTCAAGTCTATGCAGAGGCACCTTGTAAGGAAGCTTTGGTTGTTCACTTCTGAGAAATCAAGCACTGAAAGCCCTATGGAACACAGTTCTTCTCTGATGGTGGGTTTGTCATGAGCTGGAATTGACTCAGTGGCAACTGGTTTGATGTTTTGACCCCAGTTTGAAGACTTCACTTACTCATGAGTAAGCCAGATTGCAGTTTTAGCAAGATTCATTTAAACCGATCATTGGGTGTCTACACATTTAAAGACTGTTCTAGCCAGCTGGGAGAACACATTCTCCTTCAAGGTTACATTTCTTCTTTTACTTTTATTTTCTCTTGTCCCTCCCCTTTCTTAAGTAAAATGCATGTTCTGTGATTTCTGTTCCTTTAGAACAAGTTTTGCATGCAGTCATATCAGCAAAGGGCTTCATTTCAAATGAAATCTCCCTCTTTCTAAACAGCTTCCCAGTTTTTCAAAAGCAGAGAAACTGTACGAAGAGTCCTGAGTCTTCGTATCAAATTAGTCCCCAAATTGTATTCTCTGGACAAATAGTT